GACGGGGCGGCCACCCCGGGCACCCCTCGGGCACCCCTCGGGCACCCCGGCGGTGCTGCTGCCGACCTCCGCTTCTCCACTGCAGACCCCTGCTTCTCCTCCTGAGACCCCCCCTGATTCTCCATTTCAGACCCTCCGTTTCCCCAGCAGAGCCCCTGGCACCCCTGTTGCGTACCCCCAGCTTCCCTGCTGCAGACCCCTTCAGTTCCCCACTGGACACCCCAGTACCCTCAGTGCAGACTCCCAGTTCCTCACTGGACCTCCCCAATGGCCTCGTTTCAGACCCCATCACTTGCTGCAGACCCCGGTTCCCTGACAGATCCCCTGGCTCCGTGCTGGGACTAAGCCAGCGACAGGCTGGGCAGCTGGGGGTGGGAAGGGGAGACACCCCCCCTGCCCAGCCCAGCTGGGTGCTAGCAGGGGATGAGGAGCAGCCGCTGCCGGGGCAGAGGGCAGAGCCCCTGGTGAAGCTCCCAGGGCTTCTCCGGGCCACTGAACTAAGGCAGCTGCCTTGGTGCACCAGGAAGTTGTCCTTATCCATGCGAGGGGGCAGTCAGGGCTTGGAAGGACAAGAGGAAAAATAACCCCCAGTGAGAAGGTGACCCAACTCAGCCCCTGCGAGCTCCCCCAAAGACCTTTCCAGTGTCACTTTAGCAGCAGCCTCGCGGCATCCTCGCTGCGTCTGGCACAGTATGCTGGAGCAGTGAGAAGGGAAGGGAAGGTGATGTGGTGCTCGGGTGAGTTCATTCCCTGCCATGGCCAGGACAGCAGTCTCTTCCCCATGCCAGGTAGATGTCAGCGCTCTTCTGCTCCGCTTTATTCCATAGACGCAGCTGCTGCGCAGCAGCTGTCAGGCTGGGCTCTTTGGGAAGCCAGGGCTCCCTTCTCCTCCAGAGTCCTGCATGTCTGTAGTCTGGCCACAAAGGTGCCTTAGAGGGACAGAGTGGTGAGCTCCCAAAAGCCAAGGAGTAATTGTGGTCTCTCTCTCTCTCTCTCTTCCTCTCTCTTCTCCCCCAAGGAACTGGCCAAGTACTTTTTGGCAGAACTGCTCTCAGAGCCAAGCCAGACAGAAAATGAAGCCCTGGAGTCTGAGGACTTGTCCCGAGGGGCTGAGCAGGACGAAGTGAGACTGGAGCTGGAGCGCTCGGCTAACTCAAACCCTGCTCTGGCACCCCGGGAACGCAAAGCGGGCTGCAAGAACTTCTTCTGGAAAACTTTCACATCCTGTTAGCTTTTGAAACCCACCTCTCCTCCCCATCCATTCCTGCCTTCTTCCTAGCCCCCCGCCCTGAGCAGAACCTTCACCACAAGAGGCGAAGACTGTAAATACACAATCCACGGTTATGGTGAAATTAAACAAACAAGGAAAATTTGAGTTTGATTTCCAGTTGTTTTAATAAAAATTTCTGTTCCAATTGTACATGATTCGCTTGAGTTGTGATTTCTGACTAGTTCTTTAATGACATGCACTCTGCAACTCTTTCAGATGTACTATTTTTAATTCTTTGTTGCAATAAAGTTTATGTTTCAAACGGTGATGCTGAGACTTGGTGGTCAATGAGAAAACCTAAGTCACCTCTCAGGCTGCTTGTCTTCGAAATGCCACCTGTCTCAGGGCAGCGGCAGCAAACAGCATCCACATGCAAGCATATGCACACACACACACTACCCCTTAAAATTGTATTTTTTTGCCATGGTCTTTCTAAGGGACCTACAGACACAGTGGTATTTTAGTTATCAAATCCTTGTAATTGTAGCTGAGTCAAATCCACAGCATTGGAACTGTAGTCAGTCTAGAGGATTTGCACCCATCACCAGAGGCATCACTATAAATCACAGCTGTATATTCCAAGTGATGGGGATCATAAAAGTGGTTCACAGTACAAGTTTACTCCACACGTACCTCATTCCCTTCTCAGCCACAAACACTAAAAGATTTTCTTACCTGCAACATCCCTGAGAAACACTGCTTCCAGGATTCCTTTGGAAAGTTTTCCTTTGTTCTGCTGCTCAGGGGGAGGTTTTGCATCCCTGTAAAGCCGAAATGTTAACCCCATGCCATCAGCCCCTCTCCATCCAATAAACTGGTTACAGCAGTTTTTCTCCCCACTCCATTATCATTAAAGGGAATATTAAAAGGTCCAGTAAGGCAGGAGATAGCATGAGGAAAAAGACATGCTTCTCTCAATGGAAGGGAAATTCTTTGTGCTTTTGCAGAATCTCCTCCCTTTCTGGCCGTGCTGGTTTGTGAGAAGTGGATGTGGGTGAGTTGGAGCTGCACAGCATGCATCCTGCATGGAGGAAACGTGTCACTTTGATGAGAAATTCACCATTCAGGATTAAGGTAACAAACACTTTGTAGCCATCATATGTGAAGAAAAGGTGAAAAAAGGGGGATCTTAGAGGTGTTCCTGGGTGGAGGGCTGAGCACAACCCCAGTGGAGGTGGATTCCCCAACTGAGAGTATGTTAAGTCACCTCTGGTCTGTGCTGAGCATAGCTCTCTGTGGGGCATCATTCTTGATGGCTCATGGGCCATTGCCTTTATTCTTGGTCTGTGCCTCCTTTCCCTGTGGGTAGGCGTTTGTTAGATTCGAGTTGGTGGCAGGTGAATCCCTTGTCATTAGGACTACAGCAGTGCCAACATGAAATTCCAGCCCTGCCACGCTCACTCACCGCAGGGCTTGGCGGGGCTGCTCCACAGCTGATGGCAAGAGGCGAGGGCAGTGGGGGACGTGCATGGTGAGGGGAGCTGCCGGCATCAGCCCCTCTGAGTCCAGAGGCAGGACTGGGCAGAGAAGGATGATCCTCCTGGCACTTCGCGGGAGGACAAGGGGAGAGCCCTGGCACACAGGGCACCCTTTTTCACCCCCTGGATTTCTGTGGCTGGCGCAGCTGTGGAGGCTACAGGATTAACTCACCCTTCCGAGAGGGGCAGGGCTGGCACCGTTCAGGGGGGGAAGCCTCCAAAAAGACATTTGAGAAACTCAAGTAATGTAGATTGTTTCTCAGCCCTAAAAGCAGACAGGGTGAGAATAGGACCCCGTTTGAAAGTGTGGAGGCAGACTCTCTGAGGAAAGCGCAACAGTCCCAGCTCGTGTCTGATTCCTGTGCTGCTGTGCGTCGTCAAGGGAGCAGATTTTTAGGGGCTTCAGTAAAGCACAGACATCCCCATCCCTGGCTGCTTGCTCCTGTCTTGACTGAGGTTCCACTTAGTTTTCAAAAAGCAGCTAATTCTTCAGTGCTGAGACAGCCTCCAGACAGTGGCTACAGGAACAGAAAGGGGGTGGAGGTGCCAGGGGTTTGAATATTCTTATACACCAAGTCCATCTTTCATGGGATATAAATAGACCGCTACTTGCCTGAGGTTGTTCCTCTTGGTCACTACGCTCAGCCGGTGCTTCCAAAGGGAGTTTAATCCTGCTAATTGCTGTAGTGAAACTCATCACAAATAGGGATGCAGATGATCCTCAAGCACATGCAGGAATTAAAGAGAGAGTGATTCACACTCTACACCAGCCTGTTTCAGCAATACAGCTAGTGTCACGTCACGGCAGCTTCTGTGAAGCTTGATGAAGATATACTGGTGGAGGCATGTGCAAACGTCCTCGGTTCAGAGGCAGAAAGACAAACGTACTCCCTCTGCCAACTCGGGAGCTCCTGGACTTTGCGGAGATGGCTCCAGGGCATTAAATACCACATGTAATTGCACTGCGGCAGCGCCAGTGATCCCAGGGGCTGGGAGCCATACAAACAGAATGCCCTGCTGAGCTAAAAAGACTAGAATGACAAAGAAAGATTTATTGTTTCTCTTTGATAGGTAGGCATTATGGGGTAAAGAGATGCAATGGCTATATTTAATCCCTGGCCAAGCAATCACAGTTCTGGACTGGGAAGACTCTTGCTGGGCAAGGCTGAATCTGGGATGAGCACATAGGTACGGTCAGCTCCCGTGGGCCAGAGCTGCCAAAGGGGAGAGCAGTTTTTGTGAGAGGTTTTCAAACGATGTTCTCTGCAGCTTGGAGCCAAGGCTCCGCAGAAGAGCAGCCTCAGGACAGGCCTGGGGGAGGTTAGGGACTGTGATGATCCACACACTGATGATTCATCTCCCCTCTTGCACTCGGTGTCACGGGCAGACCCACAGCAATCCTCGTTCCAGCAGGTACCTTCAACTCCGTGATTCATCTGAGGCAGTGCAGGCAAATGTCCATGAGGAACCACACGAAAGGGCTTGAAACTGCTGTCTGAAGAGTTGCTTTTAATGAAAACCAGAAAAGGTTGTATAAGGCCTGGAAACACACATTCCCTGATGGGAAGACAGAGATGAGCTTCTCAGCCATCCCCAGCAGCAAACTCTCCAACTAACGATGCCAGGTGGGGTCATTCACTCTAGCAATTAGGCCAGGAATTTTTTTATGTGCAGCCTGAATTGGTAAAACAGGCAAGTCATCCTTGGCCCAGAAGGCTTGTTGGTGACACACAGCTTGAAGTGATCCTAGCTGTGGCGCAGAGGAAATACTTACGTGATCCAGATTTCATAGCCTGGGTCCACTTTGACTCCACAGAAAAGACCAAAAGCCTGGACCCAGGGGCACAACTACCCTTCACCCAGAACAGCCCATAAGATGCTCTGCACTTCCTTTGCCTTTACTCTGCCTCTGTGGCTCCTAGCCAGCATTACACCTTCACTCTGATCCACAGCCACTGAGAGCATCACAGATTCCCAGACCTCTGCTCTCATGAGAGGAATCTTCTTCCCTTTCATCCTGCCCAACTCCCAGCACTGGGGAGCACCAGAGCAACCACCAGGCCCTGTATGGGTCAGCACCAGGCATTTGGAACGAAGCACTTGCTGCTGCAACCCAGTCCTAATTCTCTGAAAGCAAAACAGCAGGTTGTTTATTGACCAGGGTGAGAGAAGCTATACCTAGGCAATAAAAGTTATTATGATAAAGGAACAGACTGTACTCTCTGCTCTCTGAACACCTTCTGACTCTTTGACAGCTTCTTACCAGAATAATGCAATAAAGCTCACTTACACCGAGCATTTTTGCTCCTTTGTCTTTGTTTTATTAGGGAATTATTTGTTACTTTTGGTCAACACCTAATTGCACTTTGGAGAATAGCTGTTTGGCCAGATGCTGTGAGTACCTCAGAAGACTTTTTGGACTCCAGTCTTAGAAGACTTACCTCATAAACAACTTGTAGACCATAAAAAAAATTAACAAGGTCACAAAAAATCACCAAGTTCACCTTTTCTCATCTGTATAGTACAAATGCTAGTTTGTGCCATGAACTAGTATTTCCAACATTATCTGACAAAGAAACCCACTTGGTCATTCAATTAACAAAATGAATTTAATGAAGGTCCCCAGGATTTCCTACAGAGAGAAAGCATAAAATGATGCATTGAAATTCACACTTTGCTCATCACCTGGGTTGGCTGCTGGACCAGAGATAGAGGGACTTGTTCCGCCCGATGCTCTCCACTGCCTGCCTCCCGCTCCGTGCAGCTGGCTCTTGCCGCCAGCAACCTACCATGCTCCTCAGTGTGGAGGGAGGAAATGCTCCTGGCCTCCAGCCCTGGCAAACCACTCTTGCGAGGTGAGCTGAGAGATGCTCCCAAGACCCTCCCTTGCTCGTCTCTCAACCCTTGTTAGGAGATTCCCCCGGGCACAGAGCAGAAGTCAGTGAATCCCTCTCGGCCCAGCAACAAGCCTGGTGCTGCTGTGCCCTGAGGTAGAGCATTTGCTTCCTTAGACAGCTCTGTGTTCTCCCTTCAAGGAAAATAGCTCCTTCTTCTCAAGACTGAGGTTTAAGGAAGAAAAAGGATCCCCCTGAAAATTGGCTGTCACATTTGCAAGGCTCTTTCATAAATCTTCTCTGCCGCCTCTTTTCTTCCCTATTTTACTTCTTGTGCTTGTCAGGGTTTGTGATTCTTCCCAGAGGCTCAAGTACAATATTTCTTTCCCTGCATCTCTGCTCCCCACGCCAGCCTGCTCCCCAAAGGGTGCAATATGGGGGGACGTTGCTGAGCACAAGCCCAGGAGTGGGGTGCACTGCAGCCAGCAGAGAGAGCCAAAGAGCACAGATTGTCCTATTTATGGTCCGTATCTGTAAGAGCAGATGCTTAGGATGGGTGTCCTCTGTGCCGGGGGCTGTCCAAGCTCGGGCTATGACCTCACCACGAGAAGATCCTGAAAAGACGGGCTTTCCATGGAACAGCACTTTCAGGTGCCAGAGCCGTGTGACGATGCAGGCAGCGCTGCTGCACTGACAAAGATTTTTCCCCCAAACTAAGTGCCCGCTTTTAATCTCTAAAGGGTATTTCTCATGTCAGAGTTGCCAACTTTTAATGGGTTAGGAGAAAGTTAAATAACATGAAAGTAGGTGAACTGTTCTATCCAGGGTTAAATGCAGTGGGGTTTGTTCTAATGACAACCTGTAAGAAATTGCTTCTGTGCAAATCTTCTTCCCCCATTTTTTGTTGTTCAGCATCCAAAACAACTCCTTATTCACTCAGCTTTTCTGAAACTTCA